GCTCCGGCCGAGGATCTGATGTTGTGGGGATTTTGCGGTCAATAGTGAATATGACCCTGACTTCTCCTAAACTCTGACTACACGGGGTAATTTCGCTTTGTTGTTGTTGTGGGTGGGGGGGGTTTAGGGTTTCGGGTTTAGGGTTTAGGGTTTACATCAGTTCTATAGAGTTGAGAGAAGATGCTCTTGGCAGGCCAAGAAGGCCGCGGAAGCAGAGGCAGAGAAACTTTGCTTAGAATTATCTTCGGGTGCTGCTCGGGGGGGGCGTTCATCTGGCCAGGCGAAGCGGAAGGCAATGGCCGAAGCTCAGAAGCATGTGCCCGTGACGCACTACGAACGCCGGCACTATTGAGCTCGGCCGGACTACTTGGGTGCTTGTTTAAACCTTACCCACCCTAACCCTAAACCCTTGTAGCCTTGCAACCCTAAAGCCAAAACCCTAAACCCTAAACCCGAATCCCGAAACCCTAAACCCTGCACGAACTCCTTGCGCTCCGAGGCCCAGGAAGGCTTAGAAGCCAAAGCCATCGCCCAGGCCAAGGAAGAGGCGCAGGCCATGCGCTCACCCAAACAGGGTTTAGGGCTTAGGGCTTAGGGCTTAGGGTTTAGGGTTTAGAGTTTAGGGTTTAGGGTTTAGGGTTGAGCGTTTAGGGTTTAGGGTTTAGGGCTAGGGTTTAGGGTTTGGGGTTTAGGGTTTAGGGCACCTGGTATAGTCCCAAAACGAATCTAGCACTTGTTCAGGAACCGCCAAAAACGGTACCCCCTGTTTACGAGCACCTCCGCAGGGATTCCACCGAGCTTGCTGTCTGTGGTTTGTATTTTAGGGTTCCGGAATTAGGGTTTAGGGTTTAGGGTTTAGGGTTTAGGGTTTAGGGTTTAGGGTTTAGGGTAAGGGTTTCAAGGTTCAGGACGGCCCTGGATGTGTTACTGGTAGCATTTAGGGATTCGAGGGTTTTGGGGTCTGCGCTTATGTCGTTCAGAGATCTTGTGCAACTTCGGGTTAGGAGTGTGAGGCTTCAGTGCGTATTACACCCTAATCCTAAACCCTATACCCGAAAATCCTAAGCCGCAATAGAAAGACTTTATACACTAAAACCCGAAACCGCAAGCAATTAAACAGGGACCTTATACCTCTCCCTAAACCCTAAACCGCAACCAATTATCACAGAGGGACCCTAAACCCGAATCTCTAAGCCCTAAACCCTAACCCGCAAGCAAGGATGGGCCAATTCTAGAGGGACCCTACACCCTAAATCCCTAAAGCCCAAACCTTAAACCCCAAACCCTAAACCCCAAACCCGAAACCCGAAACCCTAAACCCTAAACCCTTCAAAAGACAGGCGAAGGCGGACGCCAAGGCCAAAGAGAATGCATTTAAGCTAGCGAAGGCCACTGCTGAAGACGAAGCCAAGGCTTCACCCTGCTAGGGTTTAGGGTTTAGGGTTTAGGGTTTAGGGTTTAGGGTTTAGGGTTTAGGGTTTACGGTTTACGGTTTACGGTCCTGCGCTATGTTTCCTCGGAGTAATCTGGAAGTATTCAGCGCATTCTTTTGGGAAGGCTTCAGGACATTCTGGTGCTTCGGGGCGTTCTCTTCTAGGGCTGCAGAGGTTTCGGGTCTCGTTTTTTTTTTTTTTGTTTCTTTCCGGGGGTTGGGGGGGCTTACAGGATTTGATGTTTTGGATGAGAGAACATCCCTCAGAACCCCCTTGTTAAAGGGTTTGGTTTTGGTTTTAGGGCCCCAAGCCCCAAGCCCTAAACCCTGCACCCTAAACCCTAAACCCTAAACCCTAAACCCTAAACCCTAAACCCTAAACCCTAAACCCTAGCCCTAAACCCTAAACCCTAAACCCTAAACCCGCTGATAAGGGCCGGCGCATCCCGTGACTTCCCAACCCCCACCCATCCAGGCGAAGGCGGTGAAGGCCGCGACGGGCGCCGCCAAAGATGCCGCCGAGGAGATCCAAACATATCAGGGTGTAGGGTTTTGAGGGTTCTGAGGGTTCTGAGGGTTTAGGGTTTAGTTCAGGGTTCAGGGTTCAGGGTTTAGGGAGCTTGTTGTCAGAGTTTGGGGTTTCGAGCTTCGAGATGTTAAGAGTCGGTATGTTTCTCAAGCCACCCATCATCCAGCTGAAAAAATCGTCACAGAGCAACGGCCCGAAACCCTAACCCCGAAACCCTAAACCCTAAACCCTAAAAACTAAACCCTTAACCCTAAACCCTAAACCCTAAACCCTAAACCCTAAACCCTAAACCCTAAACCCTGACTGCTAGAGATCGCCTCCATCCAGCGACAGACTCCCTGAGTAGGGTGAATAGTGGAAAGCCTGAGGCCGTTCACGCGCGACCCTAAACCCTAAACCCTAAATTCCTAAACCCTAAACCCTAAACCCGAAATTACTAAGTAACACTGCCCCTACATGCCATCCACACAAAGCCCCAAGCCCCCAATTGGGCCTGTTCACCCTAAAAACTCCAAACCCTGAGCCCTAAAGCCTTTGAACCCCTAAACCCTCAACTAAACCCTGAACCCCTAAACCCTAAACCCTAGACCCTTAACCCTAAACCGCTTAAAACCCCAAACTCCAAACCCTAAACCCTAAACCCTACTAAACCCTCTCCAGCAGGAGAAAGCCAAGGTCGCGGCGCAGGCTGCTGCCCAAAAGCAAGCGGCCCGGGACTCGGCAAAGGTCTGAGGGGAGTTTAGGGTTTCGGAACTATAAGTTTGGGGTTTTATGTTTAGGGTTTTAGGGTGTTGGGGTTTATAGGGTCTGGGGTTTTTAGGGTTTAGAGGTTTTTTAGGGTTTTTTTAGGGTTTTGGGGTAAAGTTTAGGGTCTATAGCGTTTAGGGTCTAAAGTGTTTAGAGAGCTATAGGGTTCCACAAGCCCTGGGACTGGAGCACCAGAACCTCGAAATCCCCTGTGGTCTAGAGGACAACCTTAGGGGTCAGGGCTTCAAGGAGGACTCTGTTCGGTTCGGGGTTTAGGGTTTAGGGTTTATAGGGTTTAGGGTTTAGGGTTTAGGGTTCAGGGTTCAGGGTTCAGGGTTCAGGGTTTAGGGTTTAGGGTTTAGGGTTTAGGGTTTAGGGTTTAGGGTTTAGGGTTTAGGAATGTTGCGGTTCGGGGTCCAGGGGGAGATCTAACCCCCCTGTCTGGCGCAGGAAGAGAAGGCCTCGAGAATGGCCTCTGCGGGGGCCGCGAAGATGTCGCAGGAGGCTGTTTGACCAACCTTTCGTCGGTGTTTAGGGTTTTTAGGGTCTGGGGTTTGGGGTTTAGGGTTTAGGGTTTAGGGCTCCTGGGGGGTTAAGTTGCTTAGTTGTGAAGTTGCTGAGGGATGTCGGTGTCGGGGTTCTGTTGTTGTGTTGCATGCTTGCTTGGCCCCCTAAACCCCATACGCAAAGCCTCACTCCTTTCCGCTGGAAGATCAATCGTGTTTAGGGTTTAGGGTTTAGGGTTTAGGGTTTAGGGTTTAGGGTTTAGGGTTTAGGGTTTAGGGTTTAGGGTTTAGGTTGAAGGTGTAGGGTTTAGGAAGCTCCGTGGAGCATATTTCGGACTCATGCCACAATGCATGGTTTTAGGGCTCAAAGGCTTCAGCCGACTCCAGCAGCGCAGCTTATGTTAGGCGCCGAGCCCTGCGCCGGGTATCCCCAAGCTCATCCCTGGACCTCAGCCCCTAAGACACTTTAACTCCATTTAGGCTGTTTAGGGTTTTGGGAGTTTGGGTTTTGGGGTTTGGGGTTTAGGGGTTGGGGTTTAGGGGTTTGGGGTTTAGGGGGTTTGGGGGTTTGGGGTTTTGGGGTTTAGGGTTCATGGGGTGTGGGGTTTAGGGTTTAGGGTTGGGCTCAGAGTAGCTGGAGAATCTAGACCCTCGCGCACGCGCGCCCGCACGCGAACCTGTCGGCTGGTGCCAGGCGGGCGCCGAGAAAAGCAAAGCCTGAGGGGGATCCCGTTAGCTCGTGATGGCCTGACATGCCTTTACTTTACAAGCCCGAAACTTCTAAACCCTAAACCCTAGACCCTAGACCCGAAACCCTAATCCCTCAGGACACCATAACCCCGCAAGCAGTAGGGCTGTTTAGCGATTCAGGTGTGGGGCTTCAGGGTGAAGGCACAGATTCGGTTATTTGTATTCACCCTAGCCCTTCATCCTCCCATCAGATTGGGCTGATAAACTGCGGCTCTCTCTCTCTCTCTCTCTCTCTCTCTCTCTCTCTCTCTCTATTGCAGCATACTCCTTCTAGGATGCAACCAGTTCAAGTTTTAAAATCGCCCCTGTACCCATACAAGGCCATACACACACATGTGTAGTAGGCCTATGAACAAGGTTACCCCACGTACAGGTATCCTTGACCTTAAGCCCGTCGCCCTTAACCCTTAACCCTTAACCCTAAAGGATAAACTGGCAAGGTTCCATCTCGATCGAACAACAGAGGAGCCGTAAATTGCAAACCCCTAAGCGTTAACACTACTATATAAGCCCAAAACCCCAACCAAACTCCAAACCCAAAACTCCTAAAGCCTATAGACCTTAGACCCTAAACCCTTAACAGACCCCTAAATCCTAAACCACCCCTAGACCCTAAACCCTAAACCCGAAACCCTAAACCTGAACCCCGCAACGAAAGAACCCGAGAAGCAGGATGACTCGCGCGTGCGCGCGGCCGCCAAAAAAAAGCCAGACTGCAGGGATTGCAAGTTGTCTTGCAAGAGGGCTACAGGGTACATGGTTCTAGGGTGTACAGGGTTTAGGGTGTATAGTTAGCGTTTAGGGTGTACGTATAGGGTTTGGGGTGTCTAGTTTAGGACCCAGGGTGAAAAAGGGTTTATCTGCAGAGGTCACGGCTTGAAGCTCTCTCTCTCTCCGTCTTTCTCTCTCTCTCTCTCTCTCTCTCTCCGTCTCTCTCTCCTTCTCTCTCTCTCTCTCTATATACATAAATATATGGGAAATTGTATATGTGTATTGATGTCTTGACATGCTTTTGGTCCTGATGGTACCTAGACAGGCGGAGCGGCGGCAGCGCGAACTGGCCGACATCCACGCCGAGAATCAAGCGATCCTGCAGGTCGGCGAGTGGCTGTTCGGTGGATTTTGGGGTTTAGTAAACACAATCTCTAAACCTTAAACCCTAAACCCCTAAGACCTTAAAACCCTAAACTCCTAGGCCCTAAACCCCTAAAACCCTAGACCCAAAACCCCTAAGTCCTAGACCCCTAGCCCTAACCAAATCCTATCGGCTCTTTGCCGGGAGTTATGCGACTCGGGTTTATTATGGGGCTTAGGGTCTTTGGCGGCTTAGGGTTGTTGGTGTAGCATGCAGGGTGATTAGGGTTTTTAGGTTTCAGGGTTTTAGGATTTTAGGGTTTAGGGTCCAGGGCGGGTGTTAGAATTTGGCAGCAAGCAAGCGAGCGAGCGAGCCGGGAAAGAGGGAGAGGCACACTGCTGGCGATGATTGCGCGAGGCCAAGCGCAAGTTCCTCATCGACCCTACACCCTAAACCTTGAACTGCGCTTTAGGCTTTAGGGCTTGGGGCTCAGTTAATCTCAGAGACACCGCACTCTCCCCAAGGCGTTGACCCAAGCGACCTTCAAGAATCCGGAACCTGGAAAGTCTGCAAGACTTGGAACTATGAACTTGCGAGCCTCCGCACAAAACCACAATCCTAAACCCAAGCCCTTCGGTTTATCTTTAGGGGGGGTGGGAGCGTCGGGGTATTGTTGGGGTTTAGGGTTTGCGAGTCTAGCCCCGTCCCCACCCCCTTCCCGCACCGCCATGTGGCGCAGGAGATAGAGGCCATCGAGAATGCGACTGACGCCTCAGAGCTGCTTCAGGCCGTGCCCGGGTGTTTCTTTTTTTTTTTTTTGGGGGGGGGGGGGGGGGGGGGGGGGATGGTGGGGCGGCCCCTGGGCGCTTCGGAAGGTTTTACTTCTAGGGGTTTGTTGGGGCGGTTGAGTTTTTTTTTTTTTTTTTTTGGGGGGGGGGGGGGGGGGGCGGGGTTCGTGCTTCCTTCAGGTTGTGTTTGTGCTGTTGTTTTTTTTCCTTTTGCGGGGTTCAGAGTTTAGGGTTGAGGAGGTCAGAGTTGCAGGTTCGGCGAAGAGCGATCCTGGGCTGTGCGGTTCGAGGGGCTTTTAGGGTTTAGGGTTTAGGGTTTAGGGTTTAGGGTTCAGGGTTCAGGGTTTAGGGTTTAGGGTTTAGGGTTTAGGGCTTCCATCAGCTAGAGCAGCCACGTGCAACGTGCAAGAGACAGTTTGGAATACATTGTTGTTAAGAGAAAGCCCCAGATGCTCTGCAAAGGCGGCCTGCGTTGCGCAATGATGGTCATGTGCTCCGGCAGTTCTTGCACAAACTAGCAGCCCCTCAAGGTTTTTGGAGCCACGGCAAGTTGCAGTACACAGCTGAACATCCACATAAGAACTCTATAGATTGGGATGTTCCCCCCTCTGCTAGCAGTCCTTAATAGGGATCATGGCAGAGGGGGGGTACTAGAATCCCCATTGAGGACTGCTAGTATATAATAAAGGGGAACATCCCAATCTTCGGGTTTAGGGTTTAGGGTTTAGGGTCTAGGGTTTAGGGTTTAGGGTTTAGGGTTTAGGGTTTAGGGTTTAGGGTTTAGGGTTTAGGGTTTAGGGTCTAGATCTAGGGTCCTGAGATCATCCCCTCCAGGCCTTTCGGGGCGAAGCGCAGTCTCTGCGGAAGCAGGCGCCGGAAGATGATGGGATTAGGGTTTAGGGTTTAGGGTTTAGGGTTTAGGGTTTAGGGTTCAGGGCATGAAGGTCGACCGTTAGCTTCCCTGAGTGCTTAAGCCAAGCCCCGCCACAATTTGGGGTTCAGGTTTTAGGGCTGAGGGTTTAGGGTTTAAGGTTTAGGGTTTGTAGGGTTTAGGGTTTAGGGTTTAGGGTTTAGGGTTTAGGGTTTAGGGTTTAGGGTTTAGGCTAAGAGTATTCAGTAGCGGCCATGATTTTCACGAATTCCCTTGCCCAGATGCATGGTTTAGAGGCTTCGCACCCTCAACCCGACTCAACACTCACTCCTCTCGCTTCTCATGGCCTAAAGTTCCACGTGCCTCAATGGTATTCTGCCTGGATCTATATATGGGTTTAGGGTGTAGTGCATAGGGGTTATCAGACTTTAGAGCAGAAGTATACCCCAGGCCCTGAGCCCTATAAACCCTAAGCCGCAAACCCCGTAAGGGACGTTTTCTCCAGGTTGAGATGCTGAAGATGGCGAATGCTTTCCTGGCCGGCTTGCACGGAGAGGCGCCCTCCTTAAACCGTAAACTCTAAACCCTGAACCCTAAACCCCCAACCCTATACCCTAAACCCCAAACCCCAAACCCCAAACACTACCACGAGGGAATCCGGCGGCCTTCCTGCGGGCCTATAGTCATAAGGAGAGACCCATAGAAGGGAGCCTCATTAATCTTATTCCCTGATATGACCCCTACGCGGCCCTATACCCCTAAACCCTAAGCCCTAGGACTTGAAACAAGTCCACTTAGGGTTTGGGGTTTAGGGCTAAGAGGTTGCACCCCCCCCCTCCCAATTCGTGTGCGTGTGCATAACTCACAAAAGCTGTACAGTCGAGTATACCCTCTGCTGCCCGAGGACAAGAGATACGCCGCACAGAAGGAAGCCTTGAAAACGCTGCAGCAGGTGCCCGCTTGCATGCAGCATCAGATCCCATGTGCGTGATGTCTTGAGTTACAGGGCATGAACGGAGCGCAAGAATTCCTAAACCCCTAGCCCTAAACCCTAAACCCTAAACCCTAAACCCTAAACCCTAAACCCTAAAACCCTAAACCTCTCCGAGGAGGCTTCCCAGCTCTCGGCTTCCCGCAACGCCTTGGAGAAAGGACGGCGGCCTAAAGCACGGGGTTTAGGGTTTAGGGTTTAGGGTTTAGGGTTTAGGGTTTAGGGTTTAGGGTTTAGGGTTTAGGTCGTATGGCTCGCTTTGGGGGTTTAGGTCCGAAAAGGGCTCCCGGCTTAGGGTTCAGGGTTTAGGGTTTCAGGGCTAACGTTTTTCCCCTAAGCCCTAAGCCCTAAACCCTAAACCCTAAACCCTAAACCCTAAACCCTAAACCCAGGAGAAAGGCGCGCGGGCTTGGTGCAGAGATGCCTGGAAGAGGTCCCGGGCCCTAGACGCAAGGGCATTTTGCCGCAGAGACGGGTCTAGGTTTTGGGGCTTAGGGTTGAGGGTTTAGGGTTCAGGGTTTAGGGTTGAGGGTTTAGGGTTTAGGGCTTCTAAACCCTAAACCCTAAACCCTAAACCCTAAACCCTAAACCCTAAACCCTAAACCTTAGGGGTTGCACTTGCTGTGGTGTAGGGCGAAGCAGCAGCTGGGCACCGAGGTACACGCCAGGCTCGACACGGCCAAGAAGCGAAAGCTGGAGGCTCCTCGTCATGCAGAGTTTAGGGTTTAGGGTTTAGGGTTTAGGGTTTAGGGTTTAGGGTTAGGGTTTAGGGTTTAGGGTTTAGGGTTCAGGGTTTAGGGTTTAGGGCTTAGGGTCCTTGAACCCTGCCTGGGACTCTCTGTACCTACAGTTTTATCTGCAAGTTAAGGGGTAGTTACTACAACACTGTAGGTAAATAGAGCCGCAGGTAAAGCCTATAAACCTAAAACCCTAGACCCCAAACCCCTAAAACCCTAAACCCTAAACCCCCCCCCCCTGAATGTTTGGGAAATCAAACAGGCCTAAACCCTAAACCCTGAACCCTGAACCACAGTAGAAAGACCCGAATGCCCCACGCCGTGAAACCGGAGTTTTCAGAAGGCCACCTCAACTTAACGGTCTAGATCTTAGGGTTTAGGGTTTAGGATTTGGGGTTTAGGGTTTAGGGTTAAGGCTTAGGGGCTGGGTAGTTAACCTTCAACCACATACAACCCGATTGACAAATAAAAGGTTTCACCTTTTGTCAGCTAGGGTGTTCAGCCCCGAAGAGACGAGTAACATTCAGGGCGGGTGTGGGTTTCCCGAACCCTGAAGTCGGAATACTACACAACAAGCCCTTCTCCCTTATGACCAAATCCTAAACCCTAGACCCTAGACCCTAGACCCTAAACCCTAAACCCTAAACCCTAAACCCTAAACCCTAAACCCTAAACCCTAAACCCTAAACCCTAAACCCTAAACCCTAAACCCTAAACCCTAAACCCTAAACCCTTACCCAAAGGGCTACAACGTTCTTTGAGGGCTTTTGGGGTTGTGTTCGACAGGCCGAAGAGGAGATCTCCCGACTCCGGCCGGCCTACGCGGAGCTAGGCCGGAAGTTGTGGGGCAGGGTTTAGGGCTTAGGGCTTAGGGTTTAGGGTTTGGGTTTAGGGTTTAGGGTTTAGGGTTTAGGGTTTAGGGCTTAGGGTTTAGGGATGGCCGGGCTTCCTGTAGACCCGAAACCCTGAACCCTGTAGACCGGGTCGGGTTTAGGGCTTAGGGTTCAAAGGGTTTAGGGTTAAGGGTTTAGGGCTACAGGGTAGTTGTCCTGCAGGTCCCTAAGCTCGGGTTTTCGGGCCTGGCTTTGAGAGTACTTACCGAAGCAGCCTTACGTTTTCGTTCTCCCCCGCAGTTCACGAACCCTAAACCCTAAACCCTAAACCCACAGCTAGTTAGAGTTCACGAGCCGTTCATGTGGCTGTGAGGGCTTCAGTCTTAGGGGGCTCAAGGCTCAGCACGGCTTCGGAGTTTAGCGGTTTAGGTTCAGGGTCCGTGTTCCAGGTATACCGAATCAACCCTTAAACGCCCCAAAACCCTGAACCCAAAAAGCCCTAATGCAAAACACCCTAAACCCCAAACCTAAAAATGGATGCCTCTCTTGTTGTGCCAAAAACCCTAAACCCCCCAAAACGCGAAGCCCTAAATAGATGCTTCTCTTGACTGGGCACAGGTCGCCAGCTCGAGGTCGCGGAAACTGAGCGTCGGTGGCTGCAGGGAGAGTTGGACAAGATGAGGCCCTCAGTTAGGGTTTAGGGTGTGGGGTTTGGGGTTTAGGGTTTAGGGATGAGGGCTTAGAGGTTTCGATGGGTTTAGGGGGGGGGGGGGGGGGGGGGGGGGTGTTGTGGCTTTACATAGGGGATTTAGGGCTAGCTTAGATTCCTAGACTAGACCGTAAACCCTACACCCAAACAAAACCCCCCTCCCCCCCCCCCCCCCTAGAACTTGGTGGTTTAAGGCTCTAAGGGCAGGTTCACCTTAGTATGGGCCTTATATACCCTACACAAATTAAGGGCACGTACATCAGAACCCTTTCAAGGAGGTTCGGGACCATCTTAAGGGGCCATGTAACTACCCTCAGTGCCTTGGGCTCACAGAACCCCTTAAACCTACGGCGGCTCGGCCCTTTCTGCATCCTACGCTTCTTCCTGCCCATGGGTCCACTGCCCACTGGGAGCTTTTCTTCCGTGGCGCCGCCGTAAACCCTAAACCCTAAACCATAAACCCTAAACCCTAAACCCTAAACCCTAACCCCTAAACCCCTAAACCCCTAAACCCCTAAACCCCTAAACCCCTAAACCGCTAAACCCCTAAACCCCTAAACCCCTAAACCCCTAAACCCCTAAACCCCTAAACCCCTAAACCCCTAAACCCCTAAACCCCTAAACCCCTAGCCGGGAGCTCCGCCGACCTGCCGGTGATGAGTGGGTGCATCAGAAACATGATCTGGGACGTGCAGAGGCACCGGCAGCTCCACAAGTCTCGATCGAGGCTTCGAGCACCCCTAAACGCAAGACATCTCAAGACCCTTAAACTCCTAAACCGCGATCTATGGCTTAGGTTGTATGCTTAGAGGTGGGGTTTGGGATGGCTTGGAGTCTTGGCTAAATGCCGTAAGCATCCTAAATCCCCCAAACATTCACCCTACACACCCCAAGTGCCCTACATCCCGTAATATTCTGAAGTAGGGTTCAGGGTATACCCCAAATATCCTAAATATGCTTAAACCCTAAATCCTAAACCCTACTTGGAGATTCAGGGTGCTATAAGTAGACTTACAACTGGGGTTATAAGTACCCATGAACCTCCAAGTGGGTGGTTGTCAAAATTATGATCCCTTATCGGGTACCCTAAATATTAGGTGCCGCATTATCATGGGGATTCAAAAAGGGACCATAATTTTGACAACCACCCAAGTAAACCGTACCTTTCCGAAGCTGGATCCAGCGAGTGGCAGGCAAACGGCCAGCGGCCTGCGAACTGAGATCTCCCAGTTGCTCGAGGCCTTGGCGCAGTGTCTAGGGGCTAGGGTTTAGGGTGTATAGTCTGGGTGGGCCCCAGAGGTATTTTTTATTTTTTGTGTTTTTGGTCGTTTGAAACTTGTGATCTGGTTTTGTGGCTTTTCATGTGTCGTCGTTACGTCGTTGTCGTTCGTGCGTAAAGTCGCCGCCATCAATGCCGACCAGAAGGCTGAGCCAGGCGCCCGGTCGGTTTAGGGTTAAAGTTTGGGTATTGTGAAGTCGAGGACTCCGGGTTGTGGGGAGGGGGGGCGGGTCTTGCTGCATGGCACATTTTTCTTTTCGTCTTGTGTTTGTGTTTATGTTTTTGTCTAGTGTTTGTGCTGTGTGTGTGTGTGTGTGTTCGTGTTTGTTTATAGTTGTTTGTGTTTGTGTTGTGTTCCTGTTTGTTTGGGGGTAGGGGGGGGGGGGGGCAGGGCGGACAATAAAAGGCACTAAGTAAAGAAGTTGAACAAGTGGTTAGTCGTTCTTTGGAGAGCCGAGTCGAGTCCTGTGAAAAATCGTTTTGGAGTAGGCATGAACAGTCGCACCCTGTGAACCACCCTAAGCCCAGTCGAAACCCCCTTTGCCTGATGTGCTTGGCACCTCCAAAGCCGATGAGTCGGAGCCCGGGCCCAAGTCGCCCAAGTCAGTGCCTTAGGGGGATCCGGGGGGACTTTATAATATCGTCCGATAGGACGTCGTCCGTTAGGACGCGAGCGGCAGCTCGAAAGGGGCCTTCCGGTAAGGAAGTCGTCCGCTAGGACGTCGTCCGTTCAGGACGTAGTAGCCTCAATGTCTTGGGTTCGGGGTATTTAAATAATATCGGCTTACTGTTTTCTTTTAGTCGTCCAACAGGACGTCGTCCGCCAGGACGCGACTGCCCAGTCGAAGCTCCGCGTCCGCTAGGAAGTCGTCCGCCAGGACGTCGTCCGTTCAGGATGGGCAGTCGAGATCCCCCCTAGCTGGGCAATGCATTGCATGAACAATCGTCCCGGTCCCCCCAACCAAAGTAGTAATTAGTCGAACCCAAATTTCAGGCAAGTTGTCAGTCCCTGCAGTCAATTACAGTAGACGTAGTAGCATGTACTCGTCTTCAATACTAAGCAGTCGTGTATCAGGGGTCGGAGTCTCTGTAAGAGTGAGTTAAGTCGAAATACATCGCCTGTGGAAACCCCGAACCGCAACGCGGCTCCATCTTAAACTAGCCTAAAACTCTAAACTTAAACCCCCTTAATAACCCTAAACCTTAAACCCTAAACCACAAACCTTAAAGCTTGAAAGTCGAGCATCCTCAAACTAACCGTCCCTAAACTGTTCAAACCTGAGACATGAGCCCAAACCCTGCGCAGTGGTAATTCGCATGACAGCCTGAGTCGATCCCTAAGCTCGAAAACCCGGCCCCAAACATGGTGCATTTGGAAATCCCCACCAAAATACAAGCTTCAACCCGAATTTTCTCGAGGTCGTGAAGCACGTCGCTGGTTGCCGCTGGCTGTTAGTCGAGGAGCCATCGCCAGTTGTGCTTTAAAAGGGGTTGATTCATTTGTTAGACACAGCAGTGCCCCAGAACCTTTTATTAAGTAATAGTCGTCCCTTCCCCCAGTCCCAGGAAGAAAGGGTGTTCATTCGGGGCATGGGTTGGCAACCTCCGTCAGTGCAGTCGATGCTCAAGATGATCTGCCACAGTCACATAGTCGACACACAGTGTGTAGTTAAGCGCAAGAGGCTCAGACTCTTGCGCTTGCACTTCAGGCTAGGTCAGTCGCAGTGCGCTTCGACAATTCACATTCGCTGACGAATTGTGTGTGTGTGTGTGGCAGTTCTTTGTTTTGAGACCATGGCCGACGATGGTAGGTGGAACCAGTGGAACCAGTGGAGCCAGTGGCCCGATCGCAAGAAGGGCGAGAAGGGCGACTGGAACCGGCAGGTGAGGAAATATGGAGTTGCCTCCATGCATTAATTCTTTGTCCGAGTCCTGTCACAGTCAGTGACAGGTTTGTTAGCACTCGCCACACCAGCCTCACCTGCAGTCGTCGCTCAAGCTGAGCATGATTTTATTGTCAGTAGTGCCAGTGACATGTTTGTCAAGTTACCTACACCCTGCAGTTGCAGCTCAGGTCGACAAGGCCACGGAGATCTTCAGGAAGAGAAAGCAAGCCGAGATGGCCAAGGCTGCGGAACGCAAGGCGGCCGAACGTGGCAAGTCGGCTCCTTCAAGCCAGTCAGCCCCGCCGACGGCGGCTCCACCCAGCCAGTGGGCTCCACCACCCCAGTCGGCCCCAGCCAGGCCCCCCTCAGCGGCTCCTGTCCAGCAGTCGGCGCCGCCGCCCAGCCGCGTCCCCAATTGCCCTGTAGAAGAGCCGCCGCCGCGGGCGGCCCCAGTCACGCCCTTCCCCGCCGTCAGCTCAGGCCGCCCGGTGCAGTCGCGGCCCGCCTCAGCATCCCAGTCTTCTTGGTGGCTTCTAGCATCTGTCTTTGTTTACTTGCCCGCCAGTCGCATGGTTCAAGTATTATAATTTCATACGGTTACTTACGAGGCACTTTTGGCCGTGATTGTCGTTGTTCCGCGAGGCAGCAGCAAGACGATCGAGCACCCGGGATGCCAGCGGCGTCAATCGTTGGGCCAGTGTTCCTTGTCGTTGGTTTACCTGGTGGGGACGTACTTCTAGTCAGTGATTGCCGTGCTGAGTCAGACAACTGCGACGAAGACAAGATTTTTCCACTCAGGTCGTCCACATCGTCGCAGTCTGGGGCAGGCTTGGAGACGGCAGTGGCTTGGACAGCAGCAAGTCAGTCCAGTCTGATGACAAATTAATTGAATATAATATGTAAATTATTAAATAACAATTCAAGCAAAACCGGGTCGCAGCCATTCAGGTCGCTGGACTGGTTAGTTTCGCTCAGAAGATGATGACCCTTGGCCGTTGTTGGTTCAGGCTGATCCAGTCGTTGGCCAGGGCCGGCGTGTTGTTGTAAGTGGTCCCATTGTCAAGTCGTCAGTGAGAGCGAAGTGCCTGCAAGGGTCGACTCGATGGATCAGAGCAAGACGAACGAAAACCTGCGGGTGGAGGCCTGGAGGCGTTCTAAGGCCGCCGAGGCGAAGATCGTCGAGGCGCTTGAGTCTCTGGGGTTGAGAAGGAGCGTCCGTAGGGGCCACTGCAGAAAGTGGGTCATTGTTGACGCCCGCAGGCCGCGAAGAAGGAGACGCTGGCCGAGGCGAAGATGGTCCAGGCCCAGGCCATGCGTGACGCCGCGAGAGAATCTTGTCGAGGCAGCCTCAGTAATGTCTTTTTTGCGAACGGCCTTAGACTAGATTAAATAACGCCACGGCAAGTTAGTCATGAGTCGACTTTGTGCTGGCGCTGCCCTGGCAGTGAGGTCGCAGCCGCACAGTCGGCATCCACGACGTCGCCGCCCACACAGAAGGCCAAACAGGCGGCCGAGGCGGCGGCTCGTCGGCTTCTGGAGATCTCGCAGAGCGATCCGGAGTCGTCCTCGAGCCCCAAGTCGAGGAAGGCCACGGCCTCGAAGTCGAGCAAGGCTCCGGCCAAGTTGCGCAAGCCCGCAAAGTCAAAGAAGGCCGACAAGAAGAAGGAGAAGGACAAGGAGAAGGAGAAGAAGTCGGCGAAGAAGAAAAAGGAGAAGCGAGCGACGACTTCCAGTGAGTCGTGAGACTTTTGCTTGGGCCGTTAGTCGTCCAGCCTGTTTAGATTAAGACGCAAGTCCTAAGTCAACATGAATTGTACTCACAGCCAAGACTGACGGGCCCAAGCAGTTGCCTGCCTTGTGGACGGCTTCCGCTCGTCGAAGTCGGCATTCTGCAGCCCAGTCAAAGTCGATCTGCGCCTTTTAGAGAGAAAAGAGCAGACGCTGATGGGGGGGGGGGGGTGTCTTGTTCGTAGTTGTTTTAAACAGCCTCAGGGAGAACCCCGTGCCGACAGGCATCCCCAAACCCCCATGAAATAGAACAGTGTCGACCCATTATAGCATCATGTAAATCTGTGTTCTCGTTCTTCCGTGCCAGTAGAAACCCCAAATCTCTACTTCGCTGCAGGAGTCCGGGCGACCGCGTGCCGGCAGCTTGGAGTGTGTTCTTTCACGTCTGGATGACAAGGTCTTGGTCAATTAATTTCGCTAGCAGCTGGCATGGGTTCCACTGTGCGTTTGGACTGGAAGACCAAGAGTTCCCAAGTGTATGTGGAAGTCCAGAATCTTTAAAATCGCTGCAGGAGTCCAGTGGCGACCTCGTGCCGGAAGCCTGGAGCGTTCTTTCACAAGACGTTTCGGTTTCGGTCAATTAAATGTCGTTTAAACCTAGCATGGGTTCCGATGTGCGTTTGGAAGAGTTCGAGGTGCATGTAGTCGAAGTTGGAAACCGCGCTCGCACGCTGAATGCCTAAGACGCTACCTAACAGTAGAAGCATGTGTACATGTCTGCTTGGATCGAGGTGAAGAAGGATGCGATGGAGTCGCGGGCGATGTCGACAAGGCACCAGTTTCAGGAGTTCGCGCACGGTCTTGACGTGGGTTTGATTGCAGCGCATGTTTGTCGCTTGTGAGTGGCCAAGCCATGCTGACGTTTGTTCACTTGAGCTTGACGTTGTGTGTGTGTGCTGCAGTCGATGTGCCCAGACACCGCAACACAGTAGTCGCCGACGATTCTAACAGCACTTAACACGCAGGGGGCAATGAGCAGAATCTCTCATTAGTTTCACATCGCGCCTGTGTCACTGTCGCAGAGAAATGTCTTGTTGGATCTAGGGATTGTGGATTCGCGGTGCCTGGGACAAATTTTCAAGATGGCCCCAGCCTCCGCAGTCGACCGCCTGGGTGGTTCGCCAGAGGAGACGGGGCAGGACCGGTGCGTGAGTTGGTTGCAACCATGCTTAAACAGTGTGACAGTTGCTGCTTTATTGCGGGCAGCTCCTTTCGGATCCTGCGCTGGAAGGAGACGGCCCGTCGTGTGGTTGACATGGACGCGCTGGACTATGATGAGGAGGCGT